TGGAACTATTTGCTGTCACCAGGACAAACGGTATATCACTTTGGAGAAAAATGTGGTGATAGCTATTAGATTTAAAGATTCTCTTCCCAAAGCCTAGGACATGCACTCCTGGGCGTATCCCCTGGACAAACTTTCAGCTGTGTGCACAAAGCAACTTGCACAGAATGTTTCCTGCAGCAGCAAGTGCAGTTCACAAGCACATGAACAACTAAATATACTTCAACAGTATGAATAAGTAAATGGTGGGACGTCGTTCTATGAAATGCCAAACAACTGTTAATAATAAACACATTACTTTCCCCAAATCTGAATGATAATTTCACTGGTAGAGCAGAAGCTACCTTCCCTCTCTCACATCTCCCTGATCTTAACTCTTCCTCTGCTCCCTCTAGACTGCCAGGATCTACACCTCTGTGCCCGAGGGCCAGAGTATTGAGGAGTTAATGTGCCCAGAAGCAGTCCTTGACAATCAGTGACCGGTGTAGGGTATTGTAGAAATACCCCCGCTCTCTTGACCCAAGAGTGGGGTAATTCTGAGGCATGTATCCTACCCTTTCTCCTAGACTTTCCTCTGGGGGTGAAGCTCAGTGGCCCACGCAGTGGCTCGCGTAATAAGCATCTTTTATTGGCTGATTTCCTTTCCCATATGATGTCCCCACTTGCCTGCCAGTGTTTCCTGTTCTCGCAAATAAATTATCTGCACTGAAATTCTCAAGGCCCCTTTTGGAAGGGCTTTCAAGCTAAGGCACTGCGTGGAGAAATCTACATTGAAGGACATTTTCTTAGTATTTCTTTTTGGATCTTCTATCATTTTTTTCCTTCCTATCTCTTTGAAGAATTTCCTTAGCTCTATCTTCCAGACAATTTTTGTTCCAAAATATCCGGTGTTTGCATTTGAATTTTTCAATTAATTTACTATATATTTTCATTTCTAACAGTTCTCTTTCTTTTTAAATTGAAGTTTAATTGACTTACAATGTTGTGTTGGTTTCTGCTATACAAATAGTGATTCAGTTATACATACATATATTCTTTTTCATCATAGGTTATTACAAGATACTGAATGTAGTTCCCTGTGCTGTACAGCAGGACCTTGTTGTTTATAAAAGTTCTTTTTCAGATCTTCCTCTCCTTTTCTCATCATGTCTTATTCTTTTATGTTTTCAATTCTTGCCCTTTGGCAAGATTTTAAACATTCTTATTTTTTTCCTCTCTCTATCTGATCCTACTAGTACTTGAAGTTCTGCGGGATCTTATCCTGATTTAATTGTGACTGCTGGTTCCCGAGTGTTTGAAAGTTTGTGCTTTCAAATTCATTCTCTAGAGAGCTTTATCTGTGGGTATCTTAAGTGACCTGAGAAGGTTTACCTTTCTAGGTACATTTGTGCTTGTTTCTGCCAGGATCTCCAGGACCTACCCTAGAACTAACATCTGTGTCAGCTTCTCAGCCTGGGGGTTCCTGGACCCCATGATCATGTCAGTTTGAACCTGAAATTGGCATGAGTGCCAGCCCGTGGCTACAAATTCTAGTGGAAGGCTTAATCTTCCCACCACCAACTAAGGCAGATGGAGACAGGCAAGTTCCCTGACTTCTATGCTAGTGGCTGAATTTTTTTCCTGTCTACGCTCTGGAAGGTGGTTCCCTTTCAGGGTTTCAGCCACATGCAGGTGTCTCGTTCCAGCCCTCTGCCTGGGCCAGACCGAAAGCCTCATTTCCTGTTCTTGCCAGGCTCGGCCTCTAGCCTGGGGGGTACCCTGACCCTCACCTTGCAGGGCTGAGATGCTTCCTGCTCGTTTGGGTCCCTCTTCCTCCTCGACCCTTGGAGATCCTGGGTGTGTGTGGTGTATGTTGTATGTGGTGTGTGTGGTGTGTGTTTAAGGTCGCGGAAAGAATCGGCACCACAAGCAGGTGGAAGAGCTCCGGCAGAGTACCTGAATCTAACCATCGCTGCCGTCACTTGACCAAGGCCTGGACTTGTGACAGGCCCTCGTCTTTCCCCCCTCCCTCCACTCTGGGGGCCCCACGCTGGCTGTTCACACCTAGCGTGGACAGGAAGCGGAAGTTCTCTCCTTCCTCTAAATACGGCTGCGAAACTGGCTCAGGTTGGGATGTTTTTCCAAACTTCCCTGGAGTCTGGCTCTGGACACCGTTTCCGGAAGCTCTGTTGCTCTGGCCTGCGTTTCTGCCCGGCCTGGACCAGCCGGGCCGGACAGCCTGCGCTCCTGGTCCTCCCAGCCGGGTGGGGCACTCTGCGTGGGGAGGACCGGGGACTGGAGTGGGGGCTCGGGGAGGGCAAGGCAGCTCATACGCAGCTGCTGGGAGGTCTCCCACCAGCCTGTTCAAAGCCTTATCGCCTGCGAGGTGTTTCTAATACCACTTCCGCGCATTGTTTCCTCCTGGTAATTAAGAGGCGGCTCAAGGGTGTTGTGGTGGGAAGTAGGGTGGTTGATGAACGTCACAACTTGGGCTTATCTCCCCCCAGCCACAGGGAGCCCACAGCCCCGGGGTCACTCTCCAGCAGAACAGTCCAGTCCCAGTTACTGGGAGCATGGCCTAGGGCTGGCAGCCCCACCGTGCACGGAGGCCGAATTTCCCAAGAGACCTTGGAGACACCCGCAGCCCCCATTTGCAGGGGAAGGTACGGTCCTGGGAGAAGGGTTGGCTCCTTGTGGGAGGAAGGTGCGGGACTGGCCCCTGCCCTGGGGGAGCTGGGGCTCTCCTCCTGGACTGGAAGGACTTTGTTTGGAGGGGGATTCGCAGCCGGGGAGCGTCCTAACACCACCACCTCCGCTTGCCTCTGATCGTCCTGTGGTTGCTTCTGTTCATCCCTGGGCTTTCCTGCTTGTAGCACTTGACCAGGTGGGACAGGAGTGAGTTTGCCCTCACCTCTGGGTACCTTCTAGGAGCAGCCTGATGTCCCTGCGTTGGGGGTTGCAGGAGAGGGGCACCTGCTTTGAGACCAAGACTTGGCCATATGAGACATCAGACTGTTCCTTCCACAGACAGATAATGGATGGGGCTACCTCTCCCGTGGCTGGATGGGGGAATTGGGTAGGAAGGGAGTCCCCCCACCCAGGGACTCTCAGGTGACAGACTCTGCACTTAATTTAGCAGCTTTTCCAGAGCAGAAGGCTGTGGCAGGGGCCCTAAGGGACTTGGGGAGGGGTGCTCTGCCAGCCAGGATCCAGTGTCCCTTCCTGGGGGGCTACACAGCAAGGAAACATGCCCAGGGCCAGGGCCGCTGGACTCCTGTCCATTGATGAGATCAATGCAAGAAATGTTGCCTGAACACCTCCTGGGTGCTGGACACAGTGCTGTATGCGGGGATGCAGATGAGAGAGGTGTTCATGTACACTGTGGGTGACCGACCCGCAGACGTGGTTCCTGAGTGTTCTTGAAGCCTGGTGCCAGTGGTAGGAGCAAAAGCGGAAGACCTGGCAAACGTGGGGGGATGAAGAGGAAGGAATTAGCTGCCCGCCAGCTCTGAGCTGCTGCGGGGGCTCAGGGACAGGACGGAGGTCGGGCTGGCCTGGGGGCGCGTGGAAGAGAAGGCGAGCAGGGCTCTCCTTCTCTGGGTGCCTCTGGGACTGCAGTCTGAGGAAGGGTGCCTGAGCTCCTGGCTCATAGTGAGCGTTACTCTTGGGCCTGGCCCCAGCCAGAGCCTTTTTCGAGGGCCAGCAATCTATATTTAAAGGGCAAGTGGAGGTCAATCTTTTCTTTTGCTTAAAACGAATTCTCCCCACTTGATGCACTGCTGGTAGTGCATACCAGCAGCCACTAAAGCGGGCTCGTGTCTCCTGCTCCTCCACAGATGATTCCTGCCTGGCTTGGGAGGGTGCTGCTTGCTCTGGCTTTCACGTTGCCAGGTAGGTACCAAAGCGCTGTCATTCTCCACTCCTGCCCCAGGGCCACTGGGAACAGCCCCCTTCCAGGGATCAGCAGGTGTGTCTGGAGCTCACCTGTGTGCCCAGCCCCATGCTGGGCTGGTGTTGGGGCTGCCAGAGTCACTGGTTGCCTGGCTAATTCTCCTTGTGAAGGCTCTGCAGGATCTCCTCAAGGAGCCGGTGCCTGAAAATGTCCTCTCCAAGTAGGGAATTAAGAAGCCCAAGGGCCACAGAGAAACCTCTTTTATAATGGGGATGGAGAAAGGGGAAGAAGGAATCCAAGACTTGGGTAGGTTATTAGTTTTAGAAGGGATTGGAAGTCATCTAGTTGTACAGTTGTTCAGACTTCTCACAGTACAGATGAAGAGACTGAGGGTCAGAGAGGAAAAATGACTGCTCCAAAGTCACGCAGAACCAAGATCGGAGGTCAGTTCTGCTGGGCCCCAGGCCAGCTCTCCTTCACTGCATGACTCTGCCTTCCTTCCCTCACTGGGATAACGAGTCTGTAAATGGCAAGAGGGGCCCTGGTCTGACCCTGGCCTGAGCCTAGTCTCCACTGAGACAGCTAGGCCCACAGCACCCAGCCTGCCGCTATTAGTCTAGGGCAAAATGTACGTTCCTCACCCACTCTGCATCTTCCTGCTAGTGGGTCCTGCAGTAGGAGATCCAGGAAACAAAAAGATTGACTGCTGTGGTTTCCCACCTGCCAGCACACACATGCACGCAGGGTGTGAGGGTGGCAGGAGGGTCCCCTCGGAATTAGCCCATGACCTTGCAGGGGTTAACACTTCATAGAGTCTGTGTGTCAGGCGCACAGGCTGATCCGTTTAGGATTTAATATTTTCAAGATGAATGTACAAGGATGCTCATTACAGTCTATCTACACATCAGAAGCCTGAAAAATGCTAGACCCTCCCCATAGGGAGCCATACCAGATAAAATATAACGCAGCCGCTGAAAACCATGTTTTGGAAGTATGGCCTGATGAATTTTTCACAGTATATTGAGAAATAAACAGGTTGTAAATAGTTTGCCCAGTATAAGGACAAATTTACCCCCGAAAATCTGTAGTTACGTATGTGCTGCAAAATAGAAATAAAAGAGAAACAGTAAAACGTTAACTCTGGTTATTGCTGAAGGTTGGTCACACATGGTTTTAACTTCTTTTTATTATTTCTTCCATATTCTCCAAATTTTCTATATTAAGCATGCAGTGCATTTAAAGTCGGTGAACACATGTCATCAGAGTGGATGGATTTCCTGAAAAACAGCCCCTGTGTTACTGCTGAGTCCTGGGTCGTATCTGGGGCTGAAAGCAGCACTTCAGTCTTGTTTGGGATGGAAAGGACTTCTCCAGAGCCTGATTTTCTTTTCTTTTCTTTTCTTTTTTTTCAGGGGAGGAGGTAATTAGGTTTATTTATCTAAGTGGGGCACTGGGGATTGAACCCAGGGCCTTGTGCATGCTAGGCAGGGGCTCTACCACCGAGCGGTCCTCTCCCCCTCAGAGTCCGGTTTCTAACAGGTGCAGCCTCCCCACTGCCAGGCTGGAGTGGTCTGGGCTGGTGGCCCTAGCTGTGCTCACTCATGGCTTCTCTCCCTCCAGGGGCCCTTTGTGGAGAAGGGACTCCTGGCAGGCTGTCCATGGCCCGATGCAGCCTCTTCGGCGACAACTTTGTCAGCACCTTTGATGAGAGCATGTACAGCTTTGCGGGCAGCTGCAGTTACCTCCTGGCTGGAGACTGCCAGAAACACTCCTTCTCGCTCATCGGTGAGTCCTGGGCGCTGAGGCGGGGAATTCAGAGCAGGGGCCAGCGTAGCTCAGCCTTGGCATGTGGGGACGGCAGAGGTTGGGGGAGGTCTCCTATCCTTAGGACGGTGCCCGAGCAGAGAGCAAGGTGGGGAATGGCCTCTCCATGACACAGAGGTTCCCTCGGCTTCTCCATGGTCTCTCCCCGGGGCAGCCTGGTGGATGGAGAGAGTCTTCGCGCTTCTCCAGTGGTGCTCCATTGCTCTGGGTCCGGGCAACGCTCTGGGAGCTCCGAAGCTTCAAGAGAAATGATGACCCAGAAGATGCTTTGTAAGAAACAAAGCCTGTAGAAAAGGGAAGGATGGTGGCATATTTGCTGAAATTCAGAGTGTCTTGGTGACGTTGAGCACCTCCCGTGTTCCTGGCAAAGTGCTGGCACCATTCCCTTGTTATCTCTGCACCCCTGCGGCAGCTCTGAGATGTTGGGAGAGGTAAAGGCACCCTGCTTCACCCAGGAAGAGCTGAAGCCCAAGGAGGCTGCATGATCCTCTCAAGGGCTGACAGATTGTAAGGGAAGAGCTGGATTTTGATCCTGGGCTTATCAGGAGGAAGGAACTTCCCTCTGTACTGAGGAGAGAGGGCACCTTCCAAGGCTGGGAGCGGGGCTGGAGACAGAGATGGAACATTGTGGTTTGGTGACCTTCACTGCCTAAGAATTAACGAGATGTGTGTGGTGTGTGAGCGAGGGATGCTGCAGAACCTTCCCAAGGGAGGGGGTGGTCCTCAGCCTTGGGAGTGAGATGGCAACAGACTCACAATGTTACAATAAAAATTTTCATGACAATTGTTTTAAGGATGGTGAGGTAGACTTTATTCAAGAGGGACCACTGCCTTGGGGATTTTGCAGGAAAAGAAAGCGATGCTTCACTCTGAATATGTCAGGGACAGACAGGAGTTTATAACGAGGGGCCGGGGTTGGGTCATTGGATGGAAAATTACTAAGAAGAAACACCAGGGACAAGGGGGATTCTGGCTAAACCAGCCCGACAGGATTCTTGCTGAAGGCAGGCCAGGGAGAGACCAGATCCAGGGTGGGTTGTGAGGGGTATGGTCAGATACTGAGGGTAGGGGGTTTTTGCTGAAACTGAGCTAAGCGGACCTAGGATAGAGCCGAGGTGGACACCTGGTCGGGAAGCAGGGTTGAAGGACCCTGACTCAGGTTTGGTCCAGGAGACTAAGAGCATCTTTGTCAACACCCAGACCCTTACCTGAGATGCAGGCAGTAGGGCTCTTGGCGTCGTTATGCAATTGGTCAGGAAGGGTGGAAGCAGCACCCTAAGTGTGCCTGGCGAGGCTCTGCTTGGAGCCCAGTGAGTGGCCGTCCAGCCTTCCCTATGGGTTCCCCTGCTTCCTTGGCTGTCCCCTTATGCCGGCTTCCCCATCTGCCTTGCCTCTGCTGGAAAACCTATCCCAGTGTGACTTTGGTGGTCTGAATGTCCCTGGAATGCCATTTTCCCTACTCCTCTGTGAATCCCTCGAGGGCAAGGACCATGTCACACTCATCTTTGTTTCCTGGAGCTTAGCTCACGGGGATCCCTATTGACTCTGAAGGGGTCAATCCATGAAGCCTGGGGCTCCGTTGTACGGAAGGGCTGGTTTCGTCAACAGCATGGTCTGTGGGGCTCTGGGTGCGGGGTTTGCTCAGGCAGAGAGGACAGGGGAAGGTGTTCTGTGCGGTGGGGACAGCTTGAGCACAGGGAGAGTCTGGAAGGAGCGTGTGTATGCTCATTTTGTGCAGCCCGGTGTGTGTGTGGGGTTGAGGGGGTCAGTGTGGCCGGAGCCATGGTTCTCAGACTCCAGCACGCATCAGGCTGACCTGGAGGGCTGGTTAAAACAGACTGCGGCCCTGACTGGACCCCCCTGAGGCTTCTGAGTTGGTACGTCTGGGGTGGGGCCTGAGATGTCATTCCTGACAAGTTCCCAGCAGACGTTCCTGGTCCGAGGTGCGCAGGCCCGGGGAAGAGCCGGGGGAGGGCTGGAACATGGGGTGAGGCTGACGGGCAGGCCCTGCTGTCTGACGGGGGGGGGGTTGTTTCTCAGTGCAGGGGGCGGCGAGGAGCTGGAGGGGCGCCCTGGGCAGCAAGCAGCAGGTGTCAAGGGGAAATTGGCTCCTTGCCAAGACGGTCCTGAAAGGGAGAGAGGTGGGAGGTAGGATGGCCTTGGCCATAGTCACCAGGCAGGAGATGAAGAGGACCAGAGACATCTCTAGGGTGTGATGAATTAGGGAAGTCACCCTGAAGGCTGAACTCTGGGGACCCACCACACCTCAGAGGCAGCAGTGGAGAGAAAATGCACCTCCCCAGGGAAGCTGCAGGTGGGCCCAGTGTTTATTTAAGTGGATTTCTCCACCTTAAAAGTCACGGTGCACTTGCGACAACACGGACAGACCTAGACGGCGTTACGCTAAGTGTAATAAGTCAGAGAAAGACAAATATTAAACGATCTCACACTTGGACGCTTAACGAACAACCAACCAAACTCATAGAAAAGGAGGTCAGATTTGTGGCTACCAGAGGTGAGCATGGGGCCGGGGGATTAGATGAAGGTGGTCAAAAGGTCCCAACTTCCAATGAGAAGATAAGTAAGCACTGGGATGTGATGTACAACTTAAGGACTCTAGGCAACACTGCTGTGGGGCAGATGTGAAAGTTGCTGAGAGAGTAGATCCTAAAAGTTCTCATCATAAGGAAAACATTTTTTTCTTTTTTTCCTGTCTTTCTTGCTTGTGGCTACATAAAAATCCTAGTGGAGATGATGGAGGCCGCCTACCTGGGACGGCTCTGGGATGTACGTGGGACGGCGGGTTAGGAGTGACGGGAGGAAGGCTTTGGAAGAAGAAAGTGGTGGCAGCCCCTGACCCCATGGCTCTGAGCCTCAGTGGCGTTTCCAGGGAGGGGGACATTATGGGGACACCGGGGTGCCTGGGGCGGGGTGGCTGCCTTGGCTTCACAGTCTGTTTTAGCTCCTCTCTGCTGGGACTCCTTACCCTGGAGATGGGTCTGTGAGCCACACACAGTAAAACCTTAGTGCCAGGCACAGAGTTCAGGGAGGGATGAGAGAGGCAAACAGCATGTTGGAAAAGCCCTCTCCCCTATTTAAACCCAACGCCGGATCCCCCCTCCTTCAGTCCCTTCCCCTGGCTGGCAGGGAAACCCAAGCTGGGCTGGTGTCCCTGGGCGGTCACTGTCACCTCCTCCAGGAAGCCCACTTGACCACTCCAGCCCTGTCCGGCACTGGGCTCATCAGCTTGTGCTGTTGGCTGTTTTCCATCCATAAGACCTGCTGGCTCTGCCCCGGCAAGGAATGGAAGCACAGGAAGAGCCAGATTTAGGGTCAGAGGACCTGGGCTGCGGTGCCCTGTCTCCCTCTTCGCTGAGTATCCTCAGTCAAGTCACACAGCATCACTCAGCCTCCATTTCCTCATCTCTAAAGTGGAGACACTGTGAGGATCAAGGGAGACACGTTATTGACAAGTGTGAAGTTCCCCCCCAAACCTCAAAGGTTGAAAGCAGCCACATTGACCCAGGATGT